CAACCACATTGGGATCGACACTAACGCCCAAGAGCAATGTGTTCTTTAGAGCAAGCACCTGGATGAGGCCAAAATGGCAACCATTTGCCAAGAGCAAAGATGAGAAGGCAAGGGGGGGTGGGGTGGCAGGAGAGCTAGAGCGAGGAAAGGGGGATCGGAAACGGGAAGAGGGTCCACTGACTGTGGGGACAGCAGCCCGTGCCACACAATGATTTGTGTATGGGTTGCTGAATGGAAGACCAATTTGCTGGGTAAATTTGCACCTAAAACAAACACACATGTCTTAAGAAAACAACACTACTATTAGGAGAGATTTCAGACAAATTAAGAAATAAGAGCCAATTTGAAGGAAAAATAAGTAACACTGGTCTACAACTCCATTAGCAAAAACGGCCATGCAAAGTAACAACAAATGGAAGGCAGAGAGGTGGAAGGTGAGAGCTTGTTTGGGACCTGATGGTGTAATACGCAGGTGTAGGTGCCCAACGAGCTGGAGGAGAGATAGAGATGCTGGCAGGAGAGAGAGAGAGCTGGAAGCCCTGCCCAATGAGAAGACCAAGGGAGACCAGACAGCCGAAGGAGAGAGAAGGAAGGAGCAGTGAGGAGGAATAAGCTTTGTGCAGCCATTTGGGACAGAAAGGTGGCCAGAGACTGGAAGCAGACAGATAGCCAGCCTGGGTCATGAGATGAGGAGACCTTACAGATCAAAAGCCCAGAACAGTCTAGAAAAATGGAGAACTAGATCCATGAATTTGGGAATCAGAGACCACTGCAGACAGTCTGTTTGGGGGAAAAAAAGGGGGGTGGGGGAGAAACAAATAGCTCAGTTATTGAAACAACTTGGAACCAACTTGTAGTTGACCCTCCAATGGGTTCTCAGAAGCTTGTAAAAACTCCCTGGGAGGAGACAGCACATCTTTCTCTCGGAGCAGCTGGTGAATCTAAACAACCTGCTTATGGGGGGACAGGGCAACTCTTTGCCCCACCAGGTCATCAGAAGTTCCATCAGTTAAAAACAGGTCAAAAATGAACTCTGAAAACAACTATGAGATATCATCTCACCCCAGTAAGAATAGCAAAATTTAACAGAACAGCAAATAATAAATGCTGATGAGGTTGTGGAGAAACTGGAACCCTTATTCACTGGTGGGGGCAGTGTAAAATGGTGCAGCCATTATGAAAGGCAGTATGGTGCTTTCTCAAAAAGTTGCAAAGAGAAATACCATTTGACCCAGCAATTCCACTACTTGGAATATACCCCAAAGAGACCATAACCACCACCCAAGCAGATATATGCACACCCATGTTTATCATGGCTTTGTTCACAATAGCAAGGAGTTGGAAACAACCTAAGTGCCCATCAACAAACAAATGGATAGAGAAGCTGTGGTAT